TATAATTGAAAGCTAGATCGTGTGTGTCAAGCCTCCAACAAATCGATAGTTATTATTACCTAAAGTAGATGGGGCACTCCCATTCACGTCACTTGTGGGGAAAAAATTATGTGGCCACGATTATAGCCGCTACACGACACAAGTTAGTCACAAAACACTTGTGTTTATCAATCGCCAAAACCCTGGAACTAAAATTGGAGCTTAGATGCGTCGAAAGTACATCACAATTTTTTGCATTAAGACTCCATGATGTACTATGCATGGATCCATCCATTGTAGGGCCAAGCTCACTCTTTAATATACAATAGGATGGATCTAGTGTTTCACTTTCCATCTCTACAATAATTTGACTACCTTATTGTATCTTGCCGAGTTTTCCTCTCTCCCTTGACCTTCCGGATCTCCTAAGATCGAAGGGGAAGGTCTAACCCAGCACCCCACAATACTCCATCAAGTCTTTCCTGGACCCACCAAATTGCCATTCCCGTCAACCTATCAACGATCTTCTTTAGCCCCTCAATTATACATGTGTGTATCGGTGTTGTATGCATTTGCCTTCCTTATCCACCCTTAATCCTCTCGCATCTCTCAAATTTCAATTGCCATATATAAGAACCTAGAGTTGACCGCCAACTACACTACACGGGTATGTATACGAACACAGGCGAAACGATATGGTGTGCAGTTAGTGGTAGATGGTTTTGGTTAGGGAATGCCAGCTTTGAAATCGTGCATATGCCATTACCCGAAAAAAGATGACGGCAAGGAACGGCGCGTCAAGGAGCATATTTTCAGCGATCATAATATGTTTGGTTTGAAAAAAATACTATAATTATTAGTTTGTGAGAAATTAGATGATGATGCATCAATCTATTCTATTCTACAATCTAAAGTTATAAACAAAAGAAAAATAAAAAAATAAGAAGACGATGGACTACTAACCTACACCCTGTTCGCTTGATCGTTTCAGCGGCTGATAAGCCGGCTGATGCTGTTTTGTTGTGAGAAAAAACATTATATCATCACCGATAAGCATGGTTGATAAGTTCAAGCAAACAGAGCGCTATTCTTCAAACCAAACATGACATGCTATTCACTCGATGACTTGGCCTATTTCTACAAAAAAAAGCCGTTGATTTTTTTTTGCTTTTCATCTAGATACAACTGTAGTATCTGTTCATCTATAGACACGCACTAACCCTACACACGCACACCACACGCACACCACACTTACACAAAGCAAACCTACCACTATACTTCAGATCACTGGATCACGTCCTATTTGGGACGAACCCTGCTGAGAGACGCGAGTGCGATTCCGGAGAATCGAACTCGCGCCGGTGCGATTCCGGAGAATCGAACTCGCGCCGGCTGCCTGCCCACCGGCTGAGCCAGCCATCCGAGATCTGCTCGGTTCTCAAAAGCCGTTGGTTTTACTTCATCGGCTTGACAGGAAGTGCAGGCTCGTCGGCTCGACCGCTCGAGTCACATATGCTTCGCTGGGTGACTGCTGCTGCCTCACTGTCACTGGCCCAAGGTCAATGCGCGCCATCGCCTCCCCACACGCGCCTCCTCGCCCGGAGCCACCCTCAGCCGTCCGATCAAGATCCAACGCCCCCGAACACGTCACTTTCCCACCAGCCCCCGTCACCGCCGCCCGTCTCCGCCTCCGCCGACCACCGGAGCCAGGGCCCTCGCCGCCGCGCACCCGATTTAGCCGCCCCATGCCTCCTCCCACTGCGACGGTCGCCCCCGAAGCCGGCGGTTCCTTCCCCGAGCTCACCTGCCCCGCGGACTTTGCGGCCGTCGCCGCCCCCGGCGGCCGCTTCTCCGTCGTCGGCTTCGGGTCCCTCCTCTCCGGTAAGCGGGACGCAGATCGCTGTCACGGGTAGTGGATTCCTCGAGCCCTGAACCTGCTAGGCCTGACGCTTTCTAGCCTCCTGGTTGGTGGCAGAGCGGAGCGCGAGGAGCACGTTCCCGGAGCTGGAGGGCTTCCGGGTCGCCGCGCTGCGGGGGTTCCGCCGAGTCTTCGCCCACGCTGCACCCATCTTCTTCGAGCGCGGCATCGCCATCGAGGCCACCAAGGTCCCCATGCCTAGTATTTCTCTACTCATGTCATCGTTTAAGCAGCAGGTTTCTCCGTGTGTCTGTGATTCTGCAAGGTGGATATGATTTTGATCAGGGCGATGACTCGGGATGTGTACTTCACTAATTTTGCATTTCTGATGGCAACTTTTGCATGACTGTGTGATTTCACTGATTCACTAACTCTTCCAGATGTGTTAGTTTTTGTAGAGGATTTCGGATAATCTATTTTAGCAGAGCAATACAATGAACTAGCACACCTGTCGCGCACACCTGAATGTGCAGACAATAAGGCAAATATGCACTTAGTACTAGGGGTACTTGGATGATACTACAAATTACCATCCTACAGTTTATTTGTTTTTTACCTGTGTTTTCTTGACATAATGAAAATTGCAATACTAGTTCCACAACACTGGACAGCTAAAAGGTTGGGATTTCAAATAACTAGCTACATTTGTGCGTCTTGGTTCATGCACGAGGGCATGGATTTTAGTGCTCATTAAGGAGCTTCTCTGTAACATGAGCATCAGCATCACTGCTTTTGCTGTCTGTTATCCTGATCCAGGAGAATAATAAACTTTGATATGCTGTTGAGATCCAATGGTTTGACATTGGACTATGTTTGGCAATGTAGAGCACCGAATGTACTTCCCTGAGAAAGTCGCATTACTGGTTTCTTGTGGTTTCATAATGTTCTCCTTTCTCATTCCAGTATTGGGTGACTTGTAGGAATTCTCAAGCTTGAGCGTGGAGCCATGTGACGGTGAACTGATAGTAGTCACTGTTTTCGAGATCAAGGAGGAAGAGGTCATGTGGTTTTCTCAGTGATATATCATAATAATCAGCCATGGGCAAACTGATGGACTGTTCCTGAATTCCTTTTTGGCGAGGACTGAAAGTTCATGATATTTGCAGGTGCCATCATTTATTGAGAGGGAACATGAGTTTAGATTTCTTGCGGTGGGTGACCAACTAATTCATTTCATGCTTGCCGATCTAGCTTAGTTTGTAAAGTGAATAAATTCTTTACCCATAATTTGTACTAGTTTTTGACAAATGTTGGCTGCCACTTTTGTTTGTGTTTTAATGTGTTTCAGGTTGTCCCTGAAGGATTGGATGGGGTACCTTTTACAAATCGAGCAGTAAGTACTCCTACTCTGCATTTGAAATCATAACTGTGGTTTTGCTTTTGCTCTTTGCTGCTGCTTCCTTCCTGCAATCAGAGTTATTTTTCTTCGTCTTGGTGGAATTTGGTGGTTAGGTTGTCTGCGCGCGCTACAGCGATGAAGAATATTTCCAAGGGAGATGCCAAGGTTTAATTTTATGTCTTCACTTCATTCCAACTATTTTCAAACTGTTCTGTGTCCATATCTGTGTGCTGTCAATCTATCACTCCAATTGTTGATCATCAGATTTGGTAGGAAATAGTTGTTTATACTTCAAAGGAAATGGTAATCTGTTCTTGAGTTCATCCAGGCCCCTTTAACACTAGATTGTAGTTAAGCTAGACATGTTTGAATCCCGCTCAAATAAGTTTATGATGACTAACAAGGCTTTATGTTGAACATTTCTCTACCTTTTTTTTTTTCTGGCAAATCAAAACATGTTTCTGTAGATGGAAGTTGTTCTTTTAAGGCAATGTAGACATAGGTTGCTAACTTCTAAAGAATTGCTTGAGATAAAACCAAATCATATTTGATTTTGTAGTCAATTACGTGTTGAAATTTTGAGTGGTTACTTCTGCAGGAAGCAAGGAAATATATTATCAGCGCTATGGACGGTACAACATTGACAAAATATGGAGAGATGATATTTTACCATGTCGCTTATACCTCAGACATTGGTGAGTATTTGATGTTCAAAGATATATAACGTTAAACATTATGTGGGGTTGCTTCTTTCATCTCATAGATAAGTTAGTAATTAACATTAGAGGGGTCTAACTTGGGATCAAATTGGAATAAGCCTACTGTGTAGTTACATGTGCACGCTCCAATAATTTAGGGTACAGTATTTATTATCTGTTCTCTCTTGTATAGCACATCTATGACATTATGATATCTCAAAGCAATATTCATCTCTCATGGAAAAATGATATCATTGCTTTCTGACAACTGAAAGCAAGATGCATGTCTGAAGCAATAGGAAATCATTGCTTTTTGATCATTGCATTTATCCAAATCAACACATTTTCTCTACATAACGACTAAGTGTGTACAAGCATGATGTTATCAATATGTTTTTACTTTTTAGCAATATGATCTTATTTGATATTTTTGTGATTCTAATTGCTTTTTCAGTGTTCTTGCTGCGAAAAATCTTGGAGAACCAGCATACAGCAACTTCTTAGACCACACCTATCTTGGTGACCGGAAAACTACAATAAGGGAATACTTGGCCACTACCGGAGCTGGAATCATGGAAGAGGAGCCTCCCGAGTCGCTAAAAAGTCGCTACGGTGGCTGATTTGTTGACGACTCTCATATCCACCACAGGTTGAGCTCTCATATCATATTAACAGTTAGTGAATTAGGAGTAGTGTGTTCCAGGATGTTCGAAATAATGCATGGTGCTCCATTGCAGAAGATCTAGGATTCTGGTTTGTTCAGCAGGTGGCGCCAAAACATGTGATTCGTGACCAAATTGCGATTGATGCGCATCTATAATTGCGACTGTTTGCTACCACAACAGAAATTCAGAGCCAGACACCCCCAAAAATGAGGACAAAATGCATATTTTCCCCCCTTTTCTGATGGCTGGTGTTCGTTCTCGTACATTTTGACTGGCAAGGTGTGAAAGCCGGAGGTTTTTTTTTGTTTGGTGATCCACCAGCTGCAGTTCTAATCGTGGAGTGTGACGATCATGCGACAAACTGCACGTTCTGAATGGTGTGGACGGCGGCAATGCACTCTCTAGTCTACTACGAATGCGACGGGCACAATAATCGCAGTCTTGAGATGTGCATTTTGTTGCCTCTCCTTGACGTGGACAGCGATGCCGCGCCGCTTGCGCCTCCACGCGCGGACGGCGCACTCCACCAGCCGCTTGGCCGCCTTCTCCCGGTCCGGCGTCCCCGCCACGATCTGCACGGCCTCGTCGTTGGAGAGCACGTCCCACACCTGCCGGGAAAAGTTCCCGCTTGTCATCGTCAGTCATCAGGCACCGCACGCACCACCGTACGTATAGAAAAGGCGAGTGTGTGTCTTTGCGAAAGGGAGGCAGGCAGGCACGAAAGCTACCCCGTCGGCGGCGAGGATGACGGACTGGTCACCGCTGGTGATCCTCCTCTGCGTGACCTCTGGCACCGAGATGACGCCGTAGTCCTTGACGCAGTAGTCGCCGAACGCGCGCGACATGGCGAGCCCCGGCGACTCCCGGTTGGGCTGCCAGACGCGGTGCACGCCGGGTTCGTCTGCGAGGCAGTACACTTGGCCGTTGCACCGCCGGATGCGCTCCTTCTCCTCTGCACATCGACATCGCGTTCCAGGACACAACGTCAGCAACGGCCGCCGTCCCAAGAATGCATGGCCGGTCAGGGGCTCAGGGCGCGCGGACAGCAGCGACTTACGTGGCAGGTTGGGCTTGAAGTCGACGGTGAGCTGGACGGCCGCGACGGCGCCGTCGTCGGACGTGGTGCCCAGGACGGCCCGGGAGTCGCCGACGTTGGCGATGACCATGAGGTCCCCCTGCTTGACGATGGACAGCGCGGTGCAGCCGCTCTGGACGGCGTCGAAGCGGCGGCTGCGTCGGAGCTCGTCGTCGACGGCGGCGCACGCGGCCATGTAGGACTGCTTCCAGAGGTCGAACTGGCAGTCGCCGAGCCTCTTCTCGCCGTCGATGAGCGACGCCAGCGCGAGCGCCTCCTGCCAGTGGCACAGCAGCGACGGCGGCAGCGAGTCGCGCACGGCCTTGGCGACGTAGTGGCCCCACGGGCCTTGCCCGTCGAATGCCCGTCCAAGATGCCGCACGAGATGGTGTCCTCCTGGCACCCGAAACCCTGAAGACATGATAGAAAAGCCATGTGAACAAGCTTTCTTCAGAACATAAGCAGGAATTCTATACAAAACTAGTAGTAGCAGTAATTCTTTTTTCATGAATGAAACTATGAAGGAATCGTGCCGTGTGAAATGAATTTCTTAAGATTTTCTCAGGTTCCAAAACGTTCTTTAACTGTGCCGAATTGAGTGGGTAAAATTGAAGCAAAAAATGCTGCGAGTTCTCTTCACACATGGGGTTTGCCTTTGCCAGCAGCTGGTGTGATGATTCTTTATGCTGGGTAATGCTCTGCCTGTTTGGCATTATATGTGTGGTTGAGCTTCAAGGGGATTGTTAATCTTATGCTGTACAATCATTGCATGATAAGCGACAATTTATGATTCCACTGTGACATCACACACAACCAACTGAACCAACCATCCATTTGAGGTGCCTAGCAGTAGGTCATGCTTGTCCTCATTCTATTGGACGGTTTGGTTTGCAGAATTAACAAGCCAGATTAGTTAGACAACACGGGAAAAAAATATAAATTCAGACAACAAAACAAAAATAAAAGCCCTAGCACGACAACAAGTATGGCGTCCATGAAGAACTCTCAAGAATGTGTTGTGTGGGGACTTGTGGGAGTACAAATCTTCTATGTGATGATGTGGCTAACTTTCCATCTTAGGCAGTGAGGTTACTATTACTACACCAAAGCTGCTGCTACCTTGGGTTCAGATACCAGGAGCTGAAAAAGATATCATTATCATCAGCAGTAACAATGAAAAACATCTTCCTCCTAGAGCAAGCAGCAAATCAGGACACGTATGACCCCTCTGTATTGTGAGAAAGAGAAAGCCCTAGAAAGCCAAGAGGAAACACCAGACTCGTGCTCCAGTACCTATGCCTCCCTAATTGGCCTTATCACTGGAACACGCTCTTTGAAACAAAAAAAAGGTGCTTACTAGTATACGTTTGCTTAAAAAAGTGTTTTTTTTAATATTTCTCAGAAACCCAAAATGGACTGAAACATCAATCTGATGCTGAAAAACAAAAATATAAATTACTGATTAGGTGAGCAACGGAAAGACAAGTCAAGGCTCACTGTTTGTTCAGCACACAAGCACAGCAAGAAAGCTGTTTGTTTGGTTTCTTTACATAGAACGCATGAGCCCGACGAGAATTTTTCCAGATTCTGTAAAATTCCACGGAAATATCACGTGCGGTGACAACTTTATGCCACCGAAAATTCCGATAGAAAAAAAGATGAACGAAATTAAAAGGAAGCAACAAGCAGAGGACATTTTGGTTTCCCGCAAGGCCCCCACGTCGCTCTCCCGAGCGACTCGGGCGGCGCCTCCCATCCCCAGCCGCAAGGACCACCCTCCCCGCCGCCGGAGCAGGCTGCCGGATGCCCGTGCAGCTGCTAGGATGGCGGCGGCCGGGCCTTTCTCCTCCTCCTCCTCCTCTCTCTTTCTCTGAGGATGGCAGCCATGGGGCGATGGCCGCCGGCGAATGGTGGTGACGGTGGCTTCCTCTTGGCCGCCGGAGCGCAGATCCGCGGCCTCGTCGCCCGGATCCGGCGAGGCAGGGGGCGGATTTGGCGAGTCGGTGCCTGGGCGGCTCGGGCGGAGCCCCTCGCCCCCCACTGCTGGGCCTCCCCCTCCCCACCCCTTCCCCTCGCCGCCACTGGAGCGCGCTACCGATGGCCTGCGCGGGTGACTATGGCGGCCCTCCGGTGGTTCCGGCATCCGCGGGCCGAGCTCTGCGCGGATATGGTGCCCCCCGCCGTGGATCTATGGCAGCGCGGCTACGGCGGTGACGAAGGCCAGGGAATTGATGCGGGCTCGGCTGTGGCTGCGGCAGGGGCCCGTGTGCCTGCACGGGCGTGGCGGCGAGGCTGCTCCAGCTCCCCTTCCTCCGGATCAGGCCATTCCGCGACTGCAGCTGCTGCCGTCCATGCAGATCCGGCCGGAACTCGCCGGTGCGGGCGGCGGTGGAGGGCAGGGGTGGCGTGACTTCAAGGCTCCCTGTTTTGATTGTGCTGGATGTGGGCGAGCACCGGCGAAAGACATGTCGGATCTGCCGGCAAGACGACGGCGACGCCTTCGGGCGTCGTCTTCCTCCTTGGAGACGTTGTCATGGTGTTTTCCCTCTCCGGCCGACTGCAGAGGTGCGTTGGCTGTGCCGTGGTGGTGTAGCCGACAGCGGCTTGCTTGGATGCGTGCCAGTGACGCCATGGTGGTGTGGCTGGCAGTAGCCAACCAGGGGCACCAGTGGCGCCATGGTGGCGTGGCTGGAGGAACCTGACTGCTTCTTGAAGGCCAAGAGGCTCTGGCTCGGCGCGGCGCGAGGAAGGCAGCAAGGGGGCCGTGGAGGTGTTCGTACGGTGGCGGCGAGTGGGCAGCGTGGCGCGGTGATGTCAGCAAAGTGGAGGCTCGTGTCGATGACCCAATCCGACCGAGCGGAGGTTTTTCCGTTGAGGCTCGTGTCGATGTCCCAATCCGATTGGGTGAGGTGAAGGCCAAGGTGGTGAGCTGTGTCTCTGGAAGCTTTGTGTCTGTGCACGTGGTGCAGCTGAGATTCTGGTGGTGGCTAGACGAAGGTGAAGTTAATGGAGCGGCTCGGTGGTACCAAGTCACCCGGACGGCGAAGCAAGCCCGGATCCTCGAAGAGTCCAGCGGCGGGAGTGGCGAGGCCCCCGTGCGCTTTAAGGTGGTGTGTCCGAGGAGTGGTGTGTGGCGGTGGATGTGGCGAGGCCCCCACGCTTGAGTTGCCTTGGAGATCTAGGATCCGGTGCGGGGTTTTGATCGTTTGGTGTGTAAGGTGCAGCAGCGGTACTTCGGCGAGGGGTCCTGCATGGCGGTGGCCTCTTCGGTGTGGTGCGGTGGGCTTCTCTTATGACTTCTGCCAACGCATGGCCGTGGTTGGGAGATCGACGATCGTGTGTGCGTGACCCGAAGACGATGATGGCATGGTGGGGGAGTCGTGGTAGCTACACGGCTTGCAGCGGACTGCGGTGGCTAGTTCTGCATGGCAGCGACTAGTTGGCGTGGGACATCGTCGGTAACGATGGCGCTTACGGTGAGGGCTACTTGTCGGCTCTACTCTTGGTTTATGGGGGTGTGGCGTGGGGAACTGATTGAAGTTGAGTGGAGTTGGTGTGCCCGTGTTATGTCTCAATCCAACTGGCAGTTGTTGAGTGTGGCTCGTGTCGATGTCTCAATCCGACTGGCTAGAGTTATTTTTCTTTTCCTTTTGTTGAGTTTGTTTTGCGACGTGGTTGTTGGCCATTGTTATTTCATTGTGTCCATTTTGGATTTATCTTCTTTTTAATATAATCGGGAGCTCTCCTCACTAATTCGTTAAAAAAAAAAAGAAGCAGAGCATACAGCAGGAGCCGAGTTGCACGGAGAAAGAGAGAGCGGTGTAGCTGAAGCTGACCTCCCAGACGATGGAGCAGTCCTGGTTGATGCCCTTCTCGCCGCGCCGCGAGCAGACGGCGGCGAACGTCTCCGAGCCCTCGCCCCACAGGGTGCCGGACGTCCGCAGCACCGCCGGCATGGCGGTCTTGCCGCCGTCGCCTGCGCCGTCCCCTTTCCTGTCTCTCCCCACCGAGAGCGACCGGGCCAGGTCCTGCAGCAGAGACGAGATCTGCCGCATTCTGTGTCTCTCTCTCTTCTTCTCTTGGGCGACTGATCCAGAGTTCAGGTGCTACCGAGAAACGGATGAGGATGATGATTGGTTCGTTAGGCCGATGGTACATGGAAAGGAACAGAGCACCAACCGGCCGCCATGGCGACGGTGGACAGGGCGCCTGGCCATGGAGGATATTTTCTCGTCCCGTCCCTTTGGGATGAAGCGAGGAGTTTGGATTGGATTGGACGGACAGGACCAGATCAAACAGAAGCGAAAAGAAGACGCTTCCAAACTCTCACGCGAGCGCAAGAACCAAGCACAGGACGATCGATTGATTTTTTTTTAGAGCTCAAGGTGGCCCCCGGCCTTACAACATTCGGAGTTCAGAATTCTACCAGAACGCGCAGAAAGCCTCAACAGGCAAAACAAATGCACAGTATAGCAGAACTAACTGCTAACACCATTACATCCCCAAGCTTCCGCAAGACTCGCAAAGCTAATCCAGTTTCTTTCACGAGCCATCCTTGTCAGTAGAGCTTTAGCTTCATCAGATACTGTATTGATCTTCCAGTCGTTTCCAGATTGATATAAGATGCGATCCCATTCATCATTCACCTGACTAAGCCAGGTAGTCGGTGAGGTCTTGTGGCGAAGCTTTTCAGTTTGTCCAGGTGATCCAGAAATTCTGGGACTTTCTCCTTCGGACACAGAGAACTCCAATTGTGCAGCATTGCTGTTACCTTCACTATCAACACTCGCACATCTACCCAGAGTGTTCCATGAAAATACAGGTCGTTTCTTAGTTTCCAAAGCCCCCATAGGGCAGCAGCACAAAAAATATTTTCCACTATGAATTTCCTATTACTAATCCACATAGTCCCAATAGAAACAAAGTCTATGCCAATTTGTCTATTTAAGATCTCAGAAAGAATGGACCAAAGCTGTTTAGCTACTACACAGTTAAAAAATAAGTGATTGACAGTTTCAGCCTCCGAGCAAAACAAACAAGTAGGATCCTTGATTTTCTTCCTGATACTCAAATTATCCCTAGTCAGAACCTTGTTTTTAGATAACAACCACAGAAAGAAATGGACTCTAGGTGGGACCTTCAGTGCCCAAACAACAGGAACATACACAGGAGAAATACTCCTAAAATTAATGACTTTATATAAGGACTGTGAAGAGTATACACCATGAGAACTAAACTGCCATATTAGTGAATCTTCCTCATCAGTAAAGCTAATAGTAGAAGCTAACTGAACCACTTCTAACCAAAGATTGTATAATCTACCATCGACACATCTTCTAAAAGTGCATTTCAAATCAATACCATCCCACGGAGATGCAACAGTAGCATCATTCTTATTAATTAACACGTAGATCTCCCAATATTGAATAGCTAGACTAGAAGTACCTAACCAATTATCTTCCCAAAACTTGCACTTCTTGCCATTTTCTATATGCCATCTATATCCCATTTTTGTTGCAGAAGTAGCTCTCATCATACCTTTAAAGAACTCAGAGGCTCTAGAGGAGGAGCTATAAAAGATGTTAGGTCTATCAGTATTGTACTTGAAGTCTAAAAACTGTCTCCACATCTTATCACCATCTAGATTATACCTTTTAACCCAAGAAGCTAAGAGACATAAATTTAAATCTCTCAAGTTAGGAACACCTAGGCCTCCATACTCTTTCATCATACTGACACTCTCCCAGTTGGCCAAATGAATTTTACGGGATGTGGGGCTATCATCCCATAAGCAATTACCGAGATGAGAGTGTAGAACTCTAATGGCCCACTTAGGAAATTTAATAAACGAGAGTAAGTATACAGGAATACTAGCTAAACAAGACTTGATGAGAACTAGTTTCCCTACGTAAGACAACAACCTACCTCTCCAACCAGCCATTTTCTTCAATATTTTATCAAGTAGAGGCTGAATGTCCTCCCTACTAAGCTTCTCATAATGCAAAGGGACCCCTAAATATTTGATAGGTAAGGTACCAACCGGACAGGAGAACAAATGAGCAAGATTGTGAACTGCTTTAGGTTCAACATTCATTGGAATTAACTCACTTTTATGAAAATTGATCCTCATACCAGACAACTGTTCAAACCAAATGAGGATACTTTTTAGGTTCCTAGTGTATTCCTCCTCAATTCTAGAAAAAAGAATGGTGTCATCTGCATACTGCAGAGACACAACACCGCCTACCCTAAAGTTTTCTGCTATCCCTTTAATAATACCTTTCTCAGCCCCCTTCTGGAGCATTTTTGTAAGAACATCACCTACTAGATTAAAAAGCAAGGGAGATAGGATCACTCTGCCTTAACCCCTTCCCAGGTTTGAAAAAAATTACTTTCTTCACCATTAAGGTTGACTCCCATAGAGCCTCCAATGACTAAATGTCTAATCCAATCAATCCAAGTGTTACTGAAACCTCTAGTCCTAAGGATTTCAAACAAAAAATCCCAAGAAACTCTGTCGTATGTCTTCTCATAGTCTAATTTCAGGATTAAACCAGGTTCACCTGATTTATTAAGACTATGTACTAATTCATGAGCAATCACAACACTCTCTAAAATATATCTACCTTGAATAAAGGCACTTTATTGAGGAGAAATTAATCTATTCATAATCTTTCCTAATCTAAGAGTTAACACTTTGGAAAACACCTTAAAACTACAGTTAATGAGACTGATAGGTCTAAATTTTTTCATGGATCTAGCTTCATGTATCTTAGGGATGAGGGAAATCATAGCAAAGTTAAGTCTTTTCAAATCAAGATTCCCTCTATGAAAATCATTAAACATATCAACTAAATCAGTCTTAATCAAATCCCAAAATTTATGATAAAACATAAATGAGAGCCCATCAGGCCTAGGTGCACCATCAGCAAAGCAACTCCAAACCGCTTCCTTAATTTCTCCTTCAAAGACAGGAGCAGTTAGCAACTCATTCTCACTACTACTCACTAAATCCTCATGTCTCCAAAAGTCTTGACCTAAAGAGATAGGGGGTTTGTCCTCTCTTCTAAATAAATGTTTGTAGAAATTTAAAGCAATGTCCATCATCCCCTTCTGGTCCTCTACTAGACCATTAGGGCCTTCCAGAACCTCTACCCTCTTCTTTCTACTTCTCTGATTAGCTACAGCATGAAAATATGCCATGTTCCTATCCCCTTCTAGGATATTTCTACCTCTAGATCTCTGCCTCGTCTTAATCTCTTCTAAACCCCAAATCTTCTCTAATTCCTTAGAAACAAAGTCCATTCTATCCCTCTCCGTCTCAGATAAAATCCTAGAATCTAACTCGGCTTCCAAGTCATTGTATTCCAAAGCAAGCTCATTTTTATATTTATTCAGCCAAGCTACTTCATTCAAAGCTCAACACCTAACAAACCTACGAAGAGTCCTAATTTTAAATTGCCATTTATCTAAACTATTAGTCATATTACAAGGAGTGTTCCAGGCTTTCTTCACAATATCAGAAAAACCATCCTGGTAGAGCCACCACTTTTTGAATCTAAAACGTTTCTTGCCAAAGAAAACATTAGAACCAGTTTCCAAGACCAGCGGGTTATGATCACTAGGAAATCTATCTAGACATTTAATAGTACGTTGCTAAAGGAAAGCCACTATCCCATTTAGTAGACACAAAAATTCTATCTATTTTGGCCATAACCAAATTATCTTGGTTATTTGTCCAAGTGTATTTTCTAGAGAGAATTCCTTATTTAACACTGGGAAAATGAGTCGTTCCTTTCTTGGCCCTGAAATTTTCTTCGTTCCCTATTTGACACTCACTTCAACTTTCATCCCTAATTTGACACTACCGTCAAATCCGTTAGCTAACGATTGTTAGCCCGGTTGTTAAAAAGATGCGTTTTGCCCCTAGAAAAAAAAGCGGTGAAGCAAATTTGAGAGAAAAAAAAACTGCGCCTTTTTTTGCGCTTGGGCGCATGCATCGAGGCAAGCGCGGGTTTTTTCCTCTCAAATTTGCTTCGCCACTTTTTTTCTAGGGGCAAAAACGTCTTTTTAACAGCCAGTTAACACCGTTAGCTAACGGATTTGACGGTAGTGTCAAATTAGGGATGAAAGTTGAAGTGAGTGTCAAATAGGGAACGAAGAAAATTTTAGAGCCAAGAAAGGAACGACTCATTTTCCCAGTGTCAAATAAGGAATTCTCTCTATTTTCTATTAGATGCACTGAGTTCCAGCAGAGCCCACTTATGCACCCAATCATTAAAAGCATCAGCCCATCTATAATTAATCCTAGCATTATTTTTGTCAGAAGCAAATCTAATCAAATTAAAATCACCACCTAGGATAACAGGCCCCTGCCAGGACTCCATAATAGAATGTAATTCCTTTATGAAAGATCCCTTCCCCTCTTCATAAGGAGAACCATAAACTACTACTAATTTCTAGCTAAAACCTGTCTTTTTATCCTACAACATAATGCTAACAGAGAAATCTAAAGTAGAAATTAAAGTAGCTGAAAACTTATCACTATTGCTTCCAACCAGGATGCCACCAACAGACTTTTTGGCAGGAAGATAGAACCACTCAAAAGGCACATTACCAGTAAGAGATCTAAGATAGCCAGAAGTAAAAGACTCCTTAGTTTCCATGATCCCTACAAAATCAGCTCTTGTGCTCCTAATCCTATTAATTAAAGCAGGTAATCTTCCTATTTTGCCCAAACCTCTTATATTCCAAAAGAGACCTATCATTTCTTCTTCTTGCTTTTCTTCCTATTAACTACTTTAGACCAGGCTTTTTCAATCTCAACCTCTAAAATATTCAAGTCCTTATCTTCACTAATCCTCCCATCAGGAGTTGTGACAACTAGAACCAACAGTCCTACTGCCAACAAAAAAGTTTCCATTTCCTACAGAATGACTATAGCCTATATGATCATAATCATTTCTGTGTTGACTTCCCTCAGAAGTTATCATTCCCTTTGAATTTACTTTAACAGGGCAATCTACATTACTACAAGCTACATTAAAACTATTAT